ACTGTGGTCAGAAGAATCAGTGTTTCAGGTCTCTGTTGGAAGGAATGGACACCGTGTGCTCAGGACCAAAGACAGAAAAGGACCATCCAGACTGTTACTATCAACAAGTCCAAAAGCCAGGGTCTGTCATGGTCTGGGGTTGTGTCAGTGCCCTTGGCAAAGATAACTTCCACTTCTGTGATGGCTCCATTAATGCTGAACAATACACAGAGGTTTTGGAGCAACATCTGCTGCCTTCAAGACGACGTCTTTTCCAGAGATTCTCGTGAATATTTCAACAAGACAATGCAAAACCTCATAGTGGCACATTACCAAATAGGACAAAATGACACCTGACACCTGGTGTCCTCAGTCCCTAAACGTCTAAGTGTTGTAAAAAGGAACAACAACATCGCACCGTGGTAAACACTTTACTGTCCCAACTTTTTTGGGAATGTGTTGCAGCATCAGAATTGAAATGAGTGTTTATCTTGAACATAGAATAAAATTGAATCGGTATCACATCAGATAATGTTCTGCCGTGATGTTTTCAATGTGATACAGGACACAGATGATTTACACATCACTATTTTCAGTTTAAATTTTGATTTTCCGTAATGGCCCTACTTTTTCTGATTTGTGCTTGTAAAACAAGGACTTCACTTGTAGGTTTATATTTAAAACAGGGACCTCAGTGTGTGGGCTTTGGGCAAAGTGGTGAAGATGTCATATTTCGGCAAGTTTGAAATTTTTAACTGCTTCCGTTGTGTCATTTTAAGGACTGGGCAACTGCATATTTACATAGTGACAGTCAATGACATTCTCTCTCTCTCTTTAAGCTGCTTTTATCAGTAGAGCTCTTGAATAATAATTTTTGCTGCATCCTCTTTGTTCAGGATGCTGGTTCGTGCTGTGCTTCAGAAGCTGAAGAAGAAGAGGAGGAAGAGGAGGAGGTGGTGTGTTCCACTGAGCGAGCTGGGGCGGATCAGCGCTATGATGAGCACTTGGATGAGGCTGCAGAGGAAGAAGGCCTGAAACGCTACCGTGAGGCTCGAGCCAATGAAATGTTTCCAGATGAGGTGGACACACCTCTCAACACACCAGCTAGGATCAGGTTAGTTCTACAGTATGTAGGACGAGGAGTTAATATACATTAGTGCAGTATTGTGAGTTTAACTATGTTAAGAGAAGTTTCTTTGTCCACTTTGATCATTGCCACATTTGATCCTATCGCTGTCCTCTGTTCCCAGGTTCCAGCGCTACAGGGGCCTAAAAAGTTTCCGCTCCTCACCCTGGGACCCCATGGAGAACTTGCCTCTCAACTACTCGCGCATCTTCCAGTTCCAGAGCTTTGAACGCACTCGCCACCGCATACTGGCTGAGGCTGCAGCTGAGGACGATGGAGCCATGGTAAAAAAGAGTGTCTGTCTTCATTTATAGAGGCTGTTTGTGTGAGTCCTTAGATTTGTGGCTTCACTGACTGTGCTGCTCCTCTTATTGCAGGTAGGCTGGTATGTTACACTGCACATCATTGATGTGCCTTTTTCTGTGATGGAGTGTGTCCAGTCAGGCAAACCCTTGGTGTTGGTGTCCCTCTTGCCTCATGAACAGAAGGTGTGGTTCACAATTTTGTATCTTTGCGTCGGAATTTATTATTGTCCATTTGTATTGACAGTATAATTGTTGTTGACTTTTCCGGCCTTATGAAATTTTCCCTTGTGTGCACAGATGTCGGTCATGCACCTCTTAGTGAGGAGACACCCCAGCAACACAGAGCCCATCAAATCTAAAGAAGAGCTGGTGTTCCACTGTGGATTTCGGAGGTTCAGGGCCTCTCCTATCTTCTCTCAGCACACCTCAGGTAGAACACCTGCTAATCTTGCAAACATGCCCTGAAGTGCATTTCAACTTGAATCTCTCCTTAATGAAACAATACATTGCATCAGAAGAAGTGAGAGCTGTACACAACGCGGTTACTTAAGCAAATGGTCTGACGCAGATTTAGCTGCTGGACATACAGAAGTAAATGAATAATTTAATGTTGAACTTTGCTCCACTCTTTTCTAGCTGACAAGCATAAGATGGAGCTCTTCCTCAGGCCAGATGCCCCCACTGTGGTGTCAGTGTACGCTCCCATCACCTTCTGCCCTGCAGGAGCCCTGCTCTTCAAACAAAGGAATGATGGTGAGATGCAAAGCCATCAGTGGACTGGCTGCCTTGACTTTAAACCTTTGACCATCTATTCTGTTGTCAGTGTAATAGTTTTCTTTAATTATTTACCTATGCTAATTTAGCACTGACATCTGCTGTTGTGTTCTTCCTACCATCTTCCTAGGCATCCAGGACCTGGTGGCCACAGGCAGCCTACTCAGCTGTGACCCTCAGCGGGTTGTGCTGAAGAGGATTGTCCTTAGCGGACACCCGTTTAAAATTAACCGGCGCTCTGCAGTTGTCCGTTACATGTTCTTTAACAGGGGTGAGAGGATCTTGTTATACTTGTCTTACTATGACCACAGAGTATTACATAATGTATGATATCCTTGGCTTTTCTTCATGGTTTTCCATTCTTTTGTTTCTTTCTGTGACAGAGGATATAATGTGGTTCAAGCCGGTGGAGCTGCGAACAAAGTGGGGTCGGAGGGGCCACATCAAAGAGGCCTTGGGTGAGAAAATTTAAAATGCAGCTTGGTGTCAGCAGCCTCTTCTGTTATGCCCTGCCAGTTCTGACCACCATATTTAATTCTTTCAGGAACACATGGTCACATGAAGTGTGTATTTGATAATCAGCTGCGCTCTCAAGACACTGTTCTGATGAATTTGTACAAGAGAGTGTATCCTCGCTGGACATATGACCCCTTTGTGCCCTTGCCTTTACCATGGGTCAAGAGAGAGGGCACTGTGGAGATGGACAACTTGGACGTGGAATAGTAGAGGGACAGCAATGCAACATAGTGTAAGAAAGACACAGGACTTGTATTAACATAAATACTTTACATGAGTGTGGTCACATCCCACTTTCAAAAAAATGTAATGTATTAAATAAAACTATTTTGATCCCGAGCCTTTAATTGTTCATTGTGTTCGATCTTGATTGTTTGGCTTTGAAGCCTTTGACCTGCTGCAATGTTTTTTTCCACTAGATGGCAGTAAAGAATAATTATTCTTACAACCTCCTCACTGTTTTGTTGAGCAACCCTCACTTCTGCTTGAAATGGGTCAAATATTTGACTGACAGCCACTGCACAATTAGCTGTGCATGTGTGTAGAGTAGTTTATGATTAAACAAGCTGTTTCCACAACAACTGGCAGGTCAGGAATAGTTTTTACATTAGTCATGTATCAAGCCCATTATGCTGGAAACTCTTTGAAGTCATGCAGCTGTGGCTTAAAGCCTGCAGCCACATTAAAATGTACTAACTCAGATAAAGATTATGTAGATAATGTCTGTGATATTGGAGTTCTTAAATAACTGAAAAACAACTCCCAAGTTGAACTTTTAAGCAAACAAGTCATATAGGTTCTCAGTGAATGACTTGTGGCCTTTAGGATTAGACAAATCACAACTGCCAGGTGCAATACAGTTGATAGTACTCAGATATACCAAAGAATTGATGAGCCTCCCTACAGAAGATCAGTATTCACATTAAATGATAAGGAGGCATCTAATTAAAAGTTAGATAAGTTAAAAAAAGCATTTACATATGCCGACACAGTCTAAAAGATACTACCAACAAGTTAGTCCATCAAAGATCTGGTAAATGAGTACATGTCTGAGTGGGTTTTAACCATATTTTTAGTTTAAAAGTGCTATATGATGTGCAGCTCCTTATTTCCATCAGTACAGTATGCCAGGGAGTTTTTGCCCTCACAGAAAAGGCTGATTGTCCAGTTTTGCTACATCTAAACAGAGCAACACAGTCTCCTCTGGAAACTGCTGTGTTTGTTTATGAAGTGATTCTGTTGACTTGAATATGGAATCTCCAGTTTGGGTCCATAGCTCAGGTGTGAGAAGATCACTCTATGCATTTACAACTTCACAGCAGGTAATGATAGATAAGGCCTAATAAGTCTAAAATTAGACAGAGAACACAACAATTTTAGTAACCCTTTTGTCTCCTAAAAGTTAGAGCTGAATCTAAATCAGCTCCAAGGTATTTAAAATGATCAACAATTACTATCCAGTTACTATTACATGAGGTTGATAGGGGTCAATTGTTTTTAGACAAATACATGCAGACTGTTCTGCTGGTATTTAGTAAATGCAAAGAGGATGTAGTGAACCATTCAGAGATACCCGGCATTGCATCTGTTAAGTTTTCAGCAACTTCTTGTTTCCTCTGAGCATGAACATAAAAAAAATAGCATCATCAGCTTACATCTG